AAATGTCTTTATTATTTTCCGTGACTAACTATGATTATTTCATTATCACGTTTAATATCAAAGTAAAACGAGAACCCTATTTCACTTACATTATTCCCTCTCGGCAGGTCGTGGGAATATTTACACGATAGGTGTCGCCTTTCGCCATGCAGTCAGACCAGGATAGCATCAGCACCACCAGCGGTAGTGAGAGAACTAATCCAAACGTGACCACCACTACAGTTATAACGAGAAGAGTGGAGCCTGGTGCACCTAAGGCATTGGTGAGAAAACTATTTCATTACTAAAAGCAACTTTCTTATATAAATGGAAATTCATAGTGACACTTTTAAAACCAAAACTGAAATAATTTCATACGCCAGAGTCAAAATTATGTAAAAATAGGATAGTAATTAAAAATATATCTGTTGTTTTTGAATATAGATCGACAGTTTTGGGAGATATCCTCTTACTAAAATACAAAAATATTACGCATGAATTTTAACTAAATATTTCATGATAATTTAATAAATTAGATAGCTAAGTATCCTGCAAATAAGTAATATCTCCCAAAAGACTTTTCTGAAAAAGTTCCCCCTGAGTAACTATGTATAATAACCACAGTAAGCTTCAGTAAATGTTAATCGAGACCTAATACACAAATCTTTGCAACACAATTTTTGAACGTTTTTCGTCGCTACCAAAACAGTTTTAAGTGTTTTATTTCCAAAATTGCAACACAAATAAAATAATTAAAATTTATACATTTTGAAGTTGTATACATATTACTAGTACTTTTATTTGTTTCTAATAACGTGATTAGAACAAAGAAATAAATATATACTGTTTATCATAAGATCAATTTAACAGGGCTGAGCGCACCCTGGTGGTTAGTGTGCTGGACTTTGGATGTTAGATTCCGTGGTCCACGTCTACCAAATACATTTTTAAAAATCGTGTTCGACGCTTTGGGTGCATTCTTAAAGTGACTGTAAAATCTCACTATACAGTCTGACAAGAGCATCCCAGAGTTGGCGGAGGGTAATATTGACTTACTGCCCCTTTTCTAGGCTAGCAATTCAAAACTAGGGACGGCAAAAGCAGATAGACCTCGAGTAGTTTTGCACGAATATCGTAAAACAAACAAATAAATTTGTTATATGATTGTTACCCAACGTTTCGCCAGGGGTGAATCACTTAGTGATTTCATTGCTGTCTCGGAGCCGTACGCTAGTTGTAGATGAAGAAAAATACGTATGTTTTGATTCAAGTAAATTGGTATCAATCGCCAGAATATAATAAACAACGGGTAACAAGTCCAGCCGAGAATCAGTTTTTAAAAGCAAACCTCCCTCTCTTTTTCCCCCTTATGAGTTAATAGGGATTTTTATTTTCGGGTTTTCATAAATAATGTTCTTTTTTCGAAACTTTGTCAAACCTTACCAATGACTCTGCAAGTGTACAGAATACATATCTACGACAAATATATCAGGTTTCTCCACCCAACTTAAATCATAACTCTACTTGCATGGAGGATAGTTATAGTAACCCCAGATTTAACAGAGTCAAGAGATTCTCTCGATGGGTCCCGGTAGTTCTAAAAACTTATTAGTGAAAGTAACTGAGAAGGTGGCGTACCTTTTTTAATCACAATAGATGTGCTGTGTCCAGTAACGACAAGTCATTTAACCAATACCAGGGCTCATCAGTCTGACTCGGATGCGACAGACATAGAAATGTTCTAGGAGCTACATACGTTACATAAGTTTCATCAAAACAACTGTTAGGGTGAGAATCAAGAAGCTAGTTTTCTTGTTAAATTTACGGACTTACGACGCAAAAATCTGGGGTTGATAGTTTATTGTGTAGCTTTAACATGAAACAAAAACGACCTTTAAGTATATTATGAGCTGTAAACAGAATGATTAACACACAACATCTGATTAGTTAACATTTATACTTTAACTATAGATAAAATGATTAACACACAACATCTGATTAGTTAACATTTATCCTTTAGCTATAGATAATATGATTAACATACGACATCTATTTTGTTAACATTTATACTTTAGCTATAGATAAAATGATTAATATATAAGATCTGGTTAGTTAACATCTACACTTTATCTATAGAAAAAAATGATTAACACACAACATCTGATTAGCTAACATTTATACTTTAGCTATAAATAAAGGGACTAAAATCCAACATTTGATTAACTAACATCTACACTTTAGTTATAAATAAAATGATCAACATACAACATCTGATTAGTTAACATCTATACTTTAACTGTAGATAAATGATTAACATACAACATCTGACTAGTTAACATCTACACTTTAGCTATAGACAAAATTATGAACATACATCATCTGACTAGTTAACATCTACACTTTAACTGTAGACAAAATGGTCAACATACAACATCTGATTAGTTAACATCTATACTTTAACTGTAGATAAATGATTAACATACAACATCTGACTAGTTAACATCTATACTTTAACTGTAGATAAATGATTGACATACAACATCTGATTAGTTAATATATACACTTTATCTATAGAAAAAATGATTAACACACAACATCTGATTAGTTAACATTTAAAGTTTCCCTGTAAACAAAATGATTAATATATAACATCCGATCAGATAACATTTACACTTTAGCTATAGATAATTATCAACATACAACACCTGAGTAGTTAACATCTACACTTTAGCTATAGATAATTATCAACATAAAAAAACATCTGATTAGTTAACATCTACACTTTAGTTATAGATAATTATCAACATACAACACCTGATTAGTTAACATTTACACTTTAGCTATATATAATTATCAACATACAACACCTGAGTAGTTAACATCTACACTTTAGCTATAGATAATTATCAACATACAACACCTGATTAGTTAACATCTACACTTTAGTTATAGATAAAGTGATCATCATTCAACACCTGATTAGTTAACACCTACACAATAGCTGTAAACAAAATGATTAAGAAATAACATCTGAATTTACCTGAACTGTTCTTGAAAACTGTGTGATTTACAGATATTAGTCTGTTGTTTTGATTGTTCTTGTTCGGAAACACGGTCACCAAGTAGCCTGATGAGCTAAGCCACGTTGGTCCACCAAGCTTATTATCATCAAAAGTTCATTTCATATGGCCCTCTGTTTCACTTATAATTAAATTTAGAGACCAACATGGTTTCACAAGAGACTAATGTCTCACTATTAAGCTTTAGAAATCCACGTTTCACAAGAGAAAAAATTCAGAGACCCGTGTTGCATAACAGATAGAATTCAGACTCCACAGTTTTACCAAACGTAAGCTTTAGAGGCCTGTGTCTCACCAGAAATAAGCTTTATAGACGTGTTTTTATTAGAGATAAGTTTTAGATACCTGGGTTTCATTAGAGACAAACTTTACTAGATATTATTTTCATAATAGAAACAAATCTTGAAACATTGATTGTTGGTTTGTATATT